GTCAGCCCTGGCCCAGGTGGCTAAGTTGGTTGGAGCATCATCCCGTACACCAAAAGGTTGAGGGTTTGATCCCTGGCCAGAGCACATTGCCTAGGTTGCAGGTTCCATGTACTGGAGATATCTGATCCATGTTTCTCTCTCACATTGATGTTTCTCTTTCTCTCCTTCTTTATAGTAAAAAAATAAGCATATCCTTGGGTGAGGATAAAAAAGAATTAAAAAAAAGATTCAATATTCGCCTAGTATTCTTAAAATGTAAAATGTATATACAATATTCTACTGGATGTTCAACATAGTTTTAATTTTAATTTCCCTGATGTCTAACAAAATGCTTATTTGCCATTCATAAACCTTTTTAAAAAATATATTTTTATTGAGACAACCAAGATGGCGGCATAGGTAAACACCTGAACTTGCTGCCGTACACAACCACATTAAAACTACAACTAAAAGACAAAACTAATACCATCCAGAACCACAGGAAGGCTGGCTGAGTGGAAATTCTACAACTAGAAGGAAAGAGAAAAGTGCATTGAGCCCGGGAGGAGGTGCAGAGGTGTGGAAGTGGGGAGGTACAGAGACGCGTACGAAAGGGGTTGGCAGCTGGGTACACTGTTGTCTTTTTCAATCCGGAGGGAGATACAAGCTCCTGACTGCTCTGAACTCCAATTCTGGGTGAGAATATGGGGACCCAGACTCATACAGAGAGAAACTGGACTGTCTGGCATCGGGTCAGAACATGAGGGTGGCTTTCTCACAGAGGTGCTTGCAGCATTCATTGTTCCTGCATAGGGCCACGGGACACAGACCCCGGGACCTCTCTGAGCAAGAGCAGACTGGCAGCCATTGCGGTTTGCTCCGCCCTGGTGATTCCCTGAGACCCCGCCCCACCCAATTTACAACCCCACCCAAGCTGTGCGCAGAGGCTTTTGCATGTGAATGGCCTGGCCTTTCTCTGCCTAAAAACCTGTCAAACTGTAGCTGGGTCAGAGAACCCCAGAGCTTCCAAAAGAAGGACTAAGGCTCATCAGCAGCCTACATTGCTTCACAGCTGAGCCTCATTGGGCACCGCCAAACCCCAAACAAAGAGGAGCAATCTGCAGATCTCTCTGTAGCTCCTGCTGGGTGGCCTCAGGCAGTGGCTGAGTTTGTACCTCCTTGGAGATCCAAGAGACAGTGTACCCAGTGGTCAGAGTGAGACCATCCAGATTATAACTCTTCACATCCATAAGAGACACACTCAGGGGGCAGACTCAGTGAGCGCCAAAGCCCTACTGAAGCAAGTCCTGCCCCAGAAGGGTGTCTGCAGCACAGAAGTTCTCCCACTGTAGACACAGCTGATTCTCACAGCCAATTGGCCTGGAGGTCAATTCCTCCCAGTGATACCAACAGCAATCAAGGCTTAACTACAACAAGATTGTGCACACAGCCCACAAAGGGGTGCACCAAGAGTGTCCACCTCAGGTAATTAGGGAGGCTGAGCCATTGGGCCCTATAGGACACCTAGCACACAAAGCCA